GTGAAAACGGGAGGAATATAAAGTCAAGAGTCAGTCTCTCAACGAAAACAAAAAATTGGGGAGTGTTTGTGGAAATTCTGAACATTGATCTGGAGGAGCAGGAGTTCACTTCTACCGACCTTCTACGAAATGTCGCCACAAAGCTGGAAGCATTAAAATGTCTTGGTTTGATGAAGAATTAAAATTCTGGGTGAGTAAGTAACTATGAGTTCCATCCTAACTCTGTAACTTGGTTAATTAATATATTCAGATGAGTCTCATGAAGCTTCTTGGACATTCAGTGGAAGTCCGACTATCCATCCAACAATGTCATCAAATCTTCTTTGACTGTTTTAGGCAGAGTAGACTCTGAGGATTGTCAATGTGATTTTTAAAAATGAGTCCATATGTGGTGGCCTGACATCTGAGCAGACAGAGTGGGCTCCGTTCCCACTTGACGATGGTTTTCTCTTTTGATATGTGCCCTCTAATTGAGCGACGAGTGCAGGGTGTAATCCGTGTTTTGTCGAAAGTTAGCCGGCATTGGTTCCAACTCGCCTATGCCCCTAATGAGGACAAGCATTACAGAAAATGGCTGGATGGATGTTTTAATTGTGGAAACGTAAGTGCTGAGACAGGCCCGTGCCCTCGAAACAGACTAATAAGAGGAAGACATATATCTGGCAATGGCTTTAAATTGTGAAAATAACTCACTCACTACCAAAGAAATATTTACCGTATTTTCCGGATTGTAAATCAGTTTTTTTTTTCATACTTTAGCCGGGGGTGCGATTTATATACTCTGGAGCGATTTATGTGTGAACATTACAATATCATTTCACATGTTAAGGCCTATGTTGATAAGTCGACGATGAGTCTGACGTAAGCGACGTAGAAAAAGAAGCGCCGTATCTTCTCCCTCCGAGTTGACGGAGTTGTTTAAAAGTGACCCAGAGGGTGAAGATTTCATTGGATTTAGCGATTTGGAGTGACACTGACGGTTTGGGAAACTTGTTAGCTATCTATCTATCTAAACTATAGCTATCTGAATAAATCTTAACATGTTACGTGAACATACCAGGCACGTTCTCAGTTCGTTGTTTATGCGTCATGTAACGCTATTATATCGTACACTTATTCAGCCTGTTGTTCTCTATTTTATTTTTAGTTTAAATTGCCTTTCAAGATGACATGTCTGTTCTTGGTGTTGGATTTTATCAAATAAATTTCCCCCAAAAATGCGACTTAGACTCCAGTGCAACATATAATTGTTTTTTTTCTTCTTTATTATGCATTTTATGGCTGCTGCGATTTATACTCCGGAGCGATTTACAATCTGGAAAATACGGTACATATCTTTTGAGACTCCACATATTCAATCCCAGTTACTCATTTCTATTTTTTTCTTCTTTTTTTCAAGGAATAGGGTAAAAAAAGAAAATGGCCGGCACTGAATGAGTTAAAACAACTTTAACGGAAGGCTTTGACTCTTTTGACTCCTTTCAAGCATCCCCGACTTTACTGCTTTGCTCCACTTCACATTTATCTGGATGAGAGAGAGATGTCTTCTCGCCTTCTCACCAATGTTTCATGAAAGGGAAAAATGACTCAAATGACACGAGTCATAGTGAAGAAGGCCTTTTGCGTCTGCTGGAGAAATCGAGCCTGTTTTTGCACATGGATATGAGGAGGAGATTGGAGGTTGAGCAATGTGATTTCTGCTCGACTGTCACAAATCTAGCGCAACAGGAAAATCAATTTGGCCCGGTGTGTGCCTTTTGGGCTCCAGGAGAGCAAGGCGAGGGCCGGATAATGTTCCAGCGTATTGGATTTTCTTCATGGAGAAGACTGGTAAAGATGTGAGAATCACAGGCATGCCTTGATAGATTTGTGTAAGTGTACGGGTATATGATAGCCTGGCAATATGTCAGTCTCCCACATGCTCACCTCTGACTGCGTCTCTATCACAGTCACATCCCAGCAAGCAAGCATTTCTAAGTGATTTGTATGTGCAACCATGTGTGCCGCTACGTATGCCCTGCCTAGCTGCTGTGTTATTTTTCAAATATATTGTGCAGAGGTGTTTGACAGCCAGGTGAAAGGATGACATGATGAAATTGCTCTCTGACCGCTGCCACGGCGGCGCGTATCGTCCTGTGAGAGCTCAGCCGTGTGACGTGTCACATCAGTGCGCTGAGAGAGAGATGACAACAGCACACCGCTGCTTAAATGCGAGGGGCGACTTACCATGGAATCCATGAGTGATTAAAAACAAAAAAAGTTACGCTTTCAATATGGAAGATATACAGAGATGATGCCAGCCTTTCTTGTAAATGGCCAGTCATGCTGTACTTTGTGGCTGATGCTGTATGAAGCAACAATCAAGCTCACATCTATCCGCGAACAGAAAATTACTTTACATTTTAAGCCATATTGATGCAGCGTTTTAAACTATTTGGGATTGTACGAGGCCTCACCGTTTTTTAATAAAGTGGGACTCTAAAGTTGCTGGTTGACCTCTTTACTTTCCTTTTTCAACTTTCTAGATATTACTATGAAAGGGAGAGATGACCACAAGTAATTGACACCCACTAAAAGGTTTGTAGTTGCCAACAGATGTCAAAAGATGGCGGAAAAGAAAATGTTTCGATTAGAAAAGGCTGTGGACTGTCGAATTGAAGCTCCTGCCCTCAGTTCAACATAGTTGCTTAGGAACAAAGCAATATTTTTATATTTGACACAAAAATAGCAAACAGTTGAGTTTTCTCTAAGCATCTAAGCTCGAAGCTCTAAACTCAGTCTTCAACATATTTGCTGTAATATTTCATACATACAATTTCCACTCTTCTGGGAAGACTTTCCAAGATTCTAGAATGGTGTCTGTGGCAAAATCACTGGTTATTGTCCAAAAACGAACGAATTTCTGTCGACAACTAAAAAAACATGAGTTGCCACTCTCTGTTTATCCAACAAGAGTCAGTGTAATTAACAAAAACAAGTGATAACATGACTTCTTGGCATTTAAAGCACAGTCACAATGGAGGCTCATCAGACAAAAAAAAACTATCAAAATACCCAAATCATCAGCGTAAATTCATTTGAAAGCCACAATCCGTCATCACAGAGCCAGCGCCGCCACTCGTATGGCAGTAACATTAATAAAGCACAGTGAAATGGAGCCATAAGATCTGTTGTTATGAGTTTTTCCACAACCGAAGCTCAGTCAGTAATGCAGCTGAAAACAATTTGTTTTACTCACTAATTAAGTCGCTTATTAATGTTTTGTTGATTTAGTGGACACTGTTGTTCATAAAACTGAATAATGAAGACGGAGTTACGCATGCGCTTATTACGGTGTTGTTCTGCCTCCTCTTTCTCTCGCTTTGTTGCACCAACTCCAACAAGCGCATTAATGAAAGTGTCTTAACTTGTGATGAAGAGTTAAGAGTGTGGAGGCTTTAGTAATCAGATATGTGGTAACCACATTAGTTCTCCCGTGTGTGTCTCCCGGGCTGGCTGAACATTGATCTAATTCAAAGTGAGTGTCGGAAAACCGCTAAGACGCGCCAAATGTTACGCACGGCTCCACACTTTATCACTATTTATTTGGCACGGGGAAAAAAAAATATTGTCTTATGACTCATGTCCCAGCAATCAGTTTCGCTCCCCATCTTTGCCACCTTACTCGGGATTCTCAGCACGATTCTTGGCACGTGCACATGCAAAACTACTGTCCCAGTTTTCATTAGCGTCAATCACTCTGGCAAGGAGGAGGAGGCCTGACATCAGCATCTCGCTCAAGACATTTTGCCCCGCCTCATCACATTGAATGACAGCTCTGAGGCACGCTGATATGTCGCTCAGCTGCTCGGTGGGGCAGAGAGGTGGCCGGATGATGAGGGAGGCCAGGCTGGGATGGCGTGCACGGGCGCACACACCCATCTCAAATTCACTCTCATTGTGATGAAGCCAAGCCTTTATATACGCTATCTGATCACACTCTGCTGAGGCTTAAAGACAGACGTGCATGGTCTAATAATCATTTACTGAGAAAACTGTTCTATATTTTATGACTACAATTAAATAATTTATATATCAGTGTATTTAAAAAAAATTATCTATCAAAGATCATTTAAACTCTTTCAGGGATAGCGGTTAGTACAGTGGACAGTTTATCATGTTATCAGGTTAGAGCAGTGGTCCGCAACCCCCTGGTCATTTGGTACTGGGCCGCACAGAAAGAATAAAGAACTTACATTATTTACATTTTATTTATTTTGGAATCTGAAAGATGCTTTATTTTGAAAAATGACTGGATTCTCTCTTACATCCGTCTACAGTACGTCACTCTTGACGCGCTTCTCCGTCACGTGATAGGTTACCGCTAAAATGAAACGCAGGAGCCAGCAAAATGAGAAAACAACCAAACGTCTTTGGAAAGTTTCTTTGGGAAGAGGAAAAGGCCCAGCCGGGAGACAGAAGAGGAGTCTACGACTTTCAAGAAAAAGAAGGCTACATTTAACAAGACAGTATGAGGAGTCCTACTTAAGAAATGGATTTATCTCAACGGGAGATTCCCACGCGCCAAGCCCAGTCTGCATAATATTTGTATTTGAGGCATATCTTATTTTGAAGGCACCATAGCAAACAGAGAGTGTTGTGGCCAGATAGGACGTACCTCGTGTCATGATTCGTGTTTATTATTATGTTCCAAAAATACCACAGTTTTCATGCATGTCATATCATATTATTTGGTTGTATTTACCCGTCACACCTTAAAGGCCGGTCCCTGAAAATATTGTCTGACATTAAACTGATCCGTGAGGCAAAAAAGGTTGGGGATCGCTGAGTTAGAGGGTGCATGAAAGGGTTAATATGATACAAAACGGTGTCTTTTGACATCTCCGGTTTCTGTTGAGGGAGTAAAATCTTTCTGCGTCAAGTTTGTAATGATCAAACAAACATGCCGCGCTACAAATGGCAACTTTAACTGGACTGAGGTGTGAGTTCGGGAGCCCTACCAGGTGTGTTGGCGCCAGCAGTCGGGCCGCTGGCAGGAGATATGGGCCCGGAGCCTGAACGAGACTGTTGGGACTGAGTGGAGCCTGCAGGTGAGCCCACAGGAGGAGTCTACGACTTTCAAGAAAAAGAAGGCTACATTTAACAAGACAGTATGAGGAGTCCTACTTAAGAAATGGATTTATCTCAACGGGAGATTCCCACGCGCCAAGCCCAGTCTGCATAATATTTGTATTTGAGGCATATCTTATTTTGAAGGCACCATAGCAAACAGAGAGTGTTGTGGCCAAATAGGACGTACCTCGTGTCATGATTCGTGTTTATTATTATGTTCCAAAAATACCACAGTTTTCATGCATGTCATATCATCTTATTTTGTTGTATTTACCCGTCACACCTTAAAGGCCGGTCCCTGAAAATATTGTCTGACATTAAACTGATCCGTGAGGCAAAAAAGGTTGGGGATCGCTGAGTTAGAGGGTGCATGAAAGGGTTAATATGATACAAAATGGTTTCTTTTGACATCTCCGATTTCTGTTGAGAGAGTAAAATCTTTCTGCGTCAAGTTTGTAATGATCAAACAAACATGCCGCGCTACAAATGGCAACTTTAACTGGACTGAGGTGTGAGTTCGGGAGCCCTACCAGGTGTGTTGGCGCCAGCAGTCGGGCCGCTGGCAGGAGATATGGGCCCGGAGCCTGAACGAGACTGTTGGGACTGAGTGGAGCCTGCAGGTGAGCCCACAGGGGAGGGTGAAGGTCCGCTCCTCTGGCTGTGAAGGTGTGGCGAGGCGTGGGGAGAGAAAGGTGACTGTCTCTGGGTGGCGGCGCCTGCTTGCTCTCCTTGGTTACTACTGCTGCTGACAGCTGATCCCAGACCAGCCTCTGTCCCCGTGGGGAGGTCATCTATGGAGCCAGACAGATCCTGGAAAAGAGGACAAAAACATCAACTGGAGGTGAAGCGACCATGGGGAAAATAAAAATGGATGACCGTAAATGGCCACAACATCGCCCGATTGATAGACTTCGAATGGACCTTACGCACGACAGCACATGAAACATTTCCACTGGAAAGGTGAGGCGGTGAACGAGGTTTCAGTTTCTGCTGACTTCACGCGACGTGGACTTTTTAAAGATGAAAGAATATGTCCATCAGCCAACTCTTGTCATGTGCCGGCTGTTATGTTCAGCATTTTTTTTTTTCTTTTTAATATGTTTACCGGTGAGTCGACAGTACAAAGGAGATGGAAGGTTCATACAGTCGTTGAGTTTCACTGTAGCAACAATGAATCGGTTACGGCTGAACTTCAGCCGTCTGTTTCTCCCCAGCAGACAAGGAGCAGCTTTCCGTTGCTAGCATTACAAAGCTACAGCCTATCGCTGTCCCTCTGTCTCTACTCAGCACTCGTCAAGCGAGGGAGGGGATGATGTTGGCAACACCGTCACAAAGCTGTGCTCACATGGGAACATTTAACTTCATCCTGCAGTTAGTTGTCGGCTACTGTATATGCTTGTCATCATTATTTTATTATTGGTTGTCTCTTATAGCTACGTAACCTCAATGTTGCGCAATATGCACCACTCAGTGACAACAAAGGTGTTCTATGCTACTTTTTTCCTTCTTTGGAGGCAGCACTCTTTGTTGTGGTTCTTTTTGTGCTCTGTCAAAAAACTGGAGTTGCCCATCTCAAAAGAAGTCTCCCCAAAATTAATACATGCAATGAAATCAACAGTTTTCTACATTTTGAGTTTTATCCACCTTAATTGCTGAAGCATCATTCATGTTGAAAACCCACTTTTTTTTTTTTTTGCATACAAGTTAACTCTTCCGTCCAGCTTGAAAAAGATTAAAAGCCTACAAAACGTCAAAATGTTACATTTCATACGATTAAAACCAACATAAAAAATATATATGCTTACAGAATACAGTATAAAGATGCTAGATATGAAATAATTGAAACTTATTTCATTATATCGGGAAAATACAGAACGCACCGTGTTAGTGTGGGCGTGCGCGGGCGTGTGTATTTGTTCTAAGTCGTGCTTTTATCTCGATCCAGGGATTCCCCATCAATACTGCTGAAGGAACACGAAGTTGCTTAAGCGCGTGGAAGGTGCGAGGCAACAGAACAGCAAGAATGTGAATGAAGCCTGGATGAGATGAGATTTGACCGCTGGCCCCTAAACACACTCTCTGTCATTCATACACACACACACATACACGTACACACATTTGAAACACACACACATTTTCCGACCGGCAGCTGAGCCTGAGCTGTATCTCGAAAATGAGGAGGAAATCACCTGTGAGTGACCCCCGGTTTGCTGGTGAGTACTCGCTGAGGGAGGAAGTGGAAGAGTCGCGGGTGGATGCCAGCTGATGCGACCCGCTACACAAACAAGCTC